TCAATGTGTTAAAATGCAGAATGAATATGTGAATATATTTCTAGTTTCATACAACCAAAACAATGGCTAAATACATTTTTAAAAAATTACCTGATCTTTTCCAACATGAACTCTAATAGGTGAGTGGAAAATGATAAAAAGTTTAAAACTTGGGGATTATAATTAAAACAGTTAGGGTTAAGGTTGTATCCTATGAGATGAATGTTTCTATCGGCACTATAATACTTTTTCTCTAAACAATAATACTTTCCTAGTCGGAGGAAGCATCATTCAGGTGTGGCAGAATGAATTTGATCCTATACAGGTAGAACATGAAATGTCATTAACTGCTGCGTGTGGGTCTATAACATTATTTTGGTGGGGGGAGACAGTTTTTGCTGGTATTACACTCAGTATTTAGCATTTTTAAGTAACCTAATGAGATAGACACAATGGGAGGCACTCTTGCATATATAATCCTATTCAATCTCTGTAACAATTCAGGAAAATGGGTGTTATTAATACATTTTGCAGGTCAGGAAATTGAAGCTCAATAACTTGCACAAGGCCAAAGTATCATGATGTGGCAAATCAATTGCTTATCTGTATAATATTACACATATCCCTATAAGTGCAAGGTAAATTTTGTTACAACATTCTATTCTGTGGTTGTAATGTGATAGGTCAACAACAATAACTATCAAGTTAAAAGTTATAATGTTTAAAATGAATATATAACAGGCCATAAGTTCCTAAATGTCTTAGATTCAGGCACCATCCATGGCTCAATAATTCTTTCATGGCACCCTTAGGACAAAAGAAATGTCCAACTGTTCCATTTTATTAAGTAACAAGTTCCAAACAACTCATGCCTTTTATGTAGTGATTTAGAGATGCTCTGTATTTTCCTTGAAATTTTCAAACATCCTCTGTGCCCTGTGAATTAGCTACAGCACCTTGGTACTTTAGCACACAGTTTGGGCACTACAGCCCATCTATGGGGAAGACACAGTATCTGTGTCTACAGGACACATTCATTTTGACACTTTGGGCCAAAACCATCAAGCCAACCTTTTTACAACTGTTTATTTACTAATACACACACACACACACACACACACACACACACACACACACAGAGAGGCAAGAATACTGGAGTGGGGTTCCATTTCCTTCTCCAGTGCATGAAAGTGAAAAGTGAAAGTGAAGTTGCTCAGTTGTCTCCGACTCTTCACGACCCCATGGACTGTAGCCCACCAGGCTCCTCCATCCATGGGATTTCCCAGGCAAGAGTACTGGAGTGGGGTGCCATTGCCTTCTCTGGCAGAGGACTATAGTCATTAGTAAAAAGAGAAGAACTTCTTCCTCTTATTTCTGCCTATCAAATATATGCTCTGAAGGAATAGTGCTTAACCTGAGTGCTAGGTGGGGTATGAGGAAGCTGTGTGTTACAAAAAGAGAACTGAAATTTGGGGTCAGAGAAATTGGTATTGACCAAACTTATGGCTTCCAACCACCTTATCTCAAATGTCTTTCTCAAGTCTAATGTGTTGAGCTAAAACCAACATACATCTTCAAAATCATTTTAAATTTTCATAGATTTTTTTTCCTATTTTGAGCCAGGACAAAAGTCTTCCTGCCAACATAAAACAGTTCTACGAATATAAAAGGTATGTACATTTAATTTCAAAAATATCTACTGGATACAAGCACTGCAGTTCGCAGGTTCAAGCCTTTGGTTGAGAGCTCAGAATTCCACTCAGTCATCCCAGCAGAAGCACATGGACTGTGTCCATGGAGTCTCCAATCATCCAACGTGTACTTGAACCAACTCATTTGTAGATTACATTTGTTTTATAATTCAGAATTTGAACCTTTGCTATTTAGTCTTTCACTTTGCTCTGAAGTCTCTGGCTGTGCTATTTATTTGTATATTGTTTAATGATATGCTTTCCAGTAGTTAAGAGAAATCCCAGCAATGATATTCTGTAGGTGTCCACTCCATACCATATTTCTACAATTATATTCATTATAGGCAAAATACCTTTATTTTCAATGGAAAACTTCTTTTTTGGAAAATAGGAGATACTAACTCAATGGATGATGGTTAGGTTACCCAACTTGTGCTTTTATTTTTTCCCCATTGATATTATTTTAACTTTCTTGCGTAGTTTCAGAGATTTTAATTTTATTTATCAAGACACATCAAGTTTAAATAGAAAAAGGTATCATCAATACCTTCTTGAATGGATTGGTGAAAAGCATTTGCGTATATTAAAAAGTTTATCTTTCATATTTACTTGGGACTCAAATCAAGATGGATTAGTCAGTGTTACTTTCATTGAAAACTTTGTACTATTACTCAAAACAAATGAGAGCCTAGATGTCACAAATGACAGAAAACTTGAGGGTGGGGGATAAAATAGGAAGTCCCACTGAAGAGGGATGATGGAGAGATTTGTTTCTTTCCCTATCTCAATTCCTCTCCTGATACATGATTATGGAGGAAACAGTCTGGACTATTTATCGCTTCCACCGAGCTCCTCAACTCAAAGTGACTCAGAGCATGAGAGTGTCAGCAAGGGTAGCACTTTATTTTGCTACTGGCTTCACGTTAGATTCAGAGTTTGGCATAACTGTAGTTTCAAGCTTGCCAGCAGCTGTAGAGATTTTATCCTATTTTATTTCCAAACATACTAAAGATGTGGTATCATTTGTAACTTTAAGCACTGAAGGTATGAATATCAAATGGTTGATATACTAATGACTTTAAGAAGGGATGTATTTTTTCATGCCACATTACATGAACACTGAACAAGTTTGCTATGCCAGCTCATCAAATGGGAGTGAGGGAGAGGTGTTTTTGACCTTTTCTAGGTCCATAGCTATACTACTGTTCATACTCAATGAGGTTTTCTCTTCAGCACAGTATCTGAAAATGGGACTTATTTTTAGAGTTGCTTAAAACATTTCTTTTTGGAAAACAGAACTGGTCTATATGTATGTACTGCAGGTGCAATCTGAGGCAATCTGATTTTTTAAAAGTGTTTTTTCTTTCACTTTAGTAACCAAAGCTACAAAAAAAAAACACATTGGCAACATGCATTTAATGTGAATAGTAATTCCTTAGGTATATGGAAACAAAATATATTTTAAAAACTCAGAAATTAATGAAGTGATAGAATTTAAAATTTTCTTCTGAAAATTTTATTTTTAGAATTTAAATATTTAGAATATAAATGTAGTCCTTAATTATAAAAAGAAGCTGGTATTTCTGGATGAATCAGTCTACAAAGACACAATTATGTGACAAACATATTAAATGAATAAATTAAAGATCCAGAACACTATTTTAAAACACAGGAAACCAAAGAGAAAGATATTCAAAAGCCATGTTAAAAACTGTAAAGAACAAAGTGCCTATAGTAGAGTCTGAATTTTGACACTCCTCTGTTCAGTTCATTTTTACCTAGACTCCATAGTTGCATCTACTCATATTTATGACTCTGTATATTTAAAAAATTATATCCCATTTCTTCAATATTGTATTAAAAAAGGTATAAAAGCTAGAAATAAATGTTAAGTATGAAATTTCAAGACATCATTTAGCAGGAAGTATATCTGATTTCTTGTAATATTCAACAGAATTTCTCAAATGCAGCAAGTGTTGAAGCATAGCAGGATGTTAATGGGACAATTTATTAACATATAAATGAAACAAAATCTTCTGGAACTTACAGAATATTCTACATAAATATCTAAAGTGATAATATTTTACTAATTGTTTTTAATGGTATTCTACTTTGATCTATCAAAATACTTCAATATACTTACTTTCTCTGTATTTTTTGAGCATGATAATGATGTTCTGGAATATACTTAGCTTAGCAGCCTAGTCCCTCTTTGGAATTTGTCACTATTTTTATCTAACAGATTATAGTTTGCATTTTGAGTATCTGAATTTTGGAAAATAAAGTATTAGATTGTTTCCAAAACTAACAGTGTAGAATTTTGATTTTGGTTAAAAAAAAAAAGGTCATAAAATCACAGGCGACTAAAGTGAATAAGCAATATAAACAGTCATTTCAATATAGTCTATCAGTGTAAAAATGCCTTTTTTTTGGTTTGTAATGAATGCTCATTAATTCATTCAACAAATAGTTGAATATTGTACTAAAACTTTAGATATAACAATAAATGAAACAGAAGGCGCACTGGCCCTCATTTTACAACTGAAGTGGAAGAAAATATACAGGATCCAAAGGAACCTGGAGACAGGGATCTAACTAGCTCAGGCCAGTCTTCCCTGGTCTGAGTTGGAAGAGGTTCACAACACCAAGGAGAATGAACACAAACAATTCAAATCACAAGTTAAGAAAGAGTATGGTTTGGTCTAAGAGCTAAAAGAATACCAGTGAGAAACTAGGCTGTAAATATAGGGAGGAGACGGATAATGGAAGGTCAGCTAATTCACATTAGGCAACTTGGGTTTATCTTAAAGCACAATGGAAATCTATTAAAACGCATATTCCTATCTTCTCTTTGTGACCCCATGGACTGTAGCCTGTCAGGCTCCTCTGCCCATGGAATTTTCCAGGCAAGAATACTGGAGTGGGTTGCCATTCCCTTTTACAGGGGATCTTCCCGACCCAGGGGTCATATCCAGGTCTTCCGCACTGCAGGCGGATTCTTTACCATCTGAGCCACCAGGGAAGCCGGGATGTTCCTAGTTTACCTATGTAAAAATAAATTGAACCTGAAAATCACACACATATTTTAGGAATACACTGGAAATCAAAGTTATGAAACCAAATTATAAAAAGAAAATATTGGCTTCAGAAACACAGAAATATTCTAGGCACTTAAATATCAACATAGATCCTTTTCTACATTTTCCGTGTTTTCCCCTTTAAAATAAAAAGGCTATACGGGTGATCTCATTTCTTGGTGTGGCAGGAATATTAAATTGCCTAAAGCCATGCCCTCCACCCACTCCCAGATGAAAAATCAACGGTACTTACTACATCCAGCCTTATAGCTGAAGCCTGGAGGAAGGAGGAATCCTTGCTGGGCAGCGGCAGCCAGTGTCCGTTGATCAGGAGGGAATACGGGAATCATTAATGGCGGCAGTTGACCTTGAACCTGCTGAACGTATTAGAGCGAATCAAAGAGAAGAAGTCTTGATAGTCCATGCTTCCCAACCCTCCTTATTTTATGATAAAAGAAAAAAAATATTCAATTCAATACACTGGCATACAAGTTTGCTGGAACACTGGGCATGAGACAGCCTTGGGACTGCTTTAGACGGCAGATTCAGAATACTGAATGCTATAACTGGAAGGTGATATCAAGCTCACTTTCTAACCTGGTGAATAATTTCCCTACATATATCCTTGACAGTGGTGAAGTATCTATTGATGCTTCACACTGCAAGTCTTTTCCTATTGCATTAATATAATGACTTTAAAAGTACCGGTTAGGTTGAACTAAAATCTCCTTTTATAAATCCCATGTGTTGGGACTAATTCTACCTTATAAAACAAAATTAACTAAACTGTACAATTTTATAATTTCTTCAATACTTGAAGATAATTCTCATGTTCATGCGTAATATTGAGTTTTTAAATTTTTGAATAAAAATCTGGAAGAAAGCTTAGAGAGTATTAAGACTTTCTCCATTCTTTACAGAAGAGGGGTGTGTGTGTTTGTGTATGTGTGCGTTCACGTGCACGCACACATGTATGCTAAATTGCATCTGACTCTTTGCAAACCTGTGGACTGTAGTCCACCAGACTATTCTGTACATGGAATACTAGAATGGGTTACCATTCCCTTCTCCAAGGGATCTTTCTAACCCAGAGATCTAATTTGCATCTCTTGCACCTCTAGCATTGGCAGGAGGATTCTTTGCCACTGCACCTCTTGGGAAGCCTCTAATAGAAGAGGCAACTGGGGCCAAANCTAACCCAGAGATCTAATTTGCATCTCTTGCACCTCTAGCATTGGCAGGAGGATTCTTTGCCACTGCACCTCTTGGGAAGCCTCTAATAGAAGAGGCAACTGGGGCCAAAAGAGAACTGACTTGCCCATGGCCATGGAATGGGGTGGGGGCGGGTCAAAACTATGTCTATGATCTGGTTCCTTTGATCCTTCTCTGTGCTAGACTTTCTTTGTCATCTATCTTCTTTCAGGCAACTGAACCATTCCTCAAACCATATGGCTTCCCTGGTGGCTCAACTGGTAAAGAATCTGCCTGCAATGAGGAGACTCTGGTTCGATTCCTGGGTCAGGAAGATCTGCTGGAGATGGGATAGGCTACCCATTCCAGTATTCTTGGGTTTCCCTGGTGGCTCAGCTAGTAAAGAATCCACCTGTAATGAGGGAGACCAGGGTTTGAATCCTGGATTGGGAAGATCCTCTGGAGAAGGGAATGGCTACCCACTCTAGTATTCTGGCTTGGGGTCAGGCTGAATAAAGGACAGAAATGATATGGATCTAACAGAAGCAGAAGATATTAAAAGGAGGTGGCAAGAATACACAGAACTGTACAAAGAAGATCATGACCCAGATAATCACAATGGTGTGATCACTCACCTAGAGCAAGACATCCTGGAATATGAAGTCAAATGGGCCTTAGGAAGCATCACTACGAACAAAGCTAGTAGAGGTGATGGAATTCCAGTTGAGCTATTTCAAATCCTAAAAGATGATGCTGTGAAAGTGCTGCACTCAATATGCCACCGTAAATTTGGAGAACTCAGCAGTGGCCACAGGACTGGAAAAGGTCAGTTTTCATTCCAGTCCCTAAGAAAGGCAATGCCAAAGAAAGCTCAAACTACCACACAATTGCACTCATCTCACAGGCTATCAAAGTAATGCTCAAAATTCTCCAAGCCAGGCTTCAACGATACATGAACTGTGAACTTCCAGATGTTCATGCTGGTTTTAGAAAAGGCAGAGGAACCAGACATCAAATTGCCTGCTGGATCATCAAAAAAGCAAGAGAGCTTCAGAAAAACATCTATTTCTGCTTTATTGACTATGCCAAAGCTTTTGACTCTGTGGATCACAATAACCTGTGGAAAATTCTTCAAGAGATGGGATTACCAGACGACCTGACCTGCCTCTTGAGAAATCTGTATGCAGGTCAGGAAGCAACAGTTAGAACTGGACATGGAATAACAGACTGGTTCCAAATAGGAAAAGGAGTACGTCAAGGCTGTATATTGTTGCCCTGCTTATTTAACTTATATGCAGAGTACATCATGAGAAACGCTGGGCTGGATGAAGCACAAGCTGGAAGCAAGATTGCCTGGAGAAATATCAATAGCCTCAGATATGCAGATGATAGCACCCTTATAGCAGAAAGTGAATAAGAACTAAAGAGCCTCTTGATGAAAGTGAAGGAGCAGAGTGAAAATGTTGGCTTAAAGCTCAACATTCAGAAAACTAAGATCACGGTATCTGGTCCCATCACTTCATGGCAAATAGATGGTGCTTGCAGCCATGAAATAAAAAGAGACTTACTCATTGGAAGAAATATTATGACCAACCTAGACAGCATATTAAAAAGCAGAGACCTTACTTTGCCAACAAAGGTCCATCTAGTCAAGGCTATGGTTTTTCCAGTAGTCATGTATAGATGTGAGAGTTGGACTATAAAGAAAGCTGAGCGCAGAAGAATTGATGCTTTTGAACTGTGGTGTTGAAGAAGACTCTTGAAAGTCCCTTGGACTACAAGGAGATCCAACCAATCCTAAAGGAAAACAGTCCCGAATGTTCACTGGTGGGACTGATGTTGAAGCTGAAACTCCAATACTTGGGCCACCTGATGTGATGAATTGACTCACTGGAAGACCCTGATGCTGGGAAAGATTGAGGGCAGGAGGAGAAGGGGACGACAGAGGATGAGATGGTTGGATGGCATCACTAACTCAATGGACATTAGTTTGAGTAAACTCCTGGAGTTGGTGATGGACAGGGAGGCCTGGTGTGCTGCAGCCCAGACGGTCACAAAGAGTCGGACACAACTGAACGACTGAACTGAACTGAACTGTATAGAGCATGGTGTTGCAAAGAGTTGGACACCATTGAGTGAGTTTCACTTTCACTCTCAAATCATATGGCCTCTGTTTCGGTTGCCATCTTTAGAACACACTTTAATTTTCTTGTGTCACTCTCAGAATGTGGGATTCATATAATTCAATAATCTAATACAATGGAATCACTATTTTCTTTGAATTGAACAATAATTTCTAGAAATATAAACTAATGCAGTAATTTCTCCAGCTATGTCACATTATTAGTAAATGCAGAGGTTGTCATTTACAGGAATATCTAAGATAGTTTTTCAAATATTTCAACAAGATTTCTCTGGTGGACATGGTTATTGGTTAGTGTTTGTCAGTGAACATATGAATGAGAATTTATAATCATGCTAAAAATCACACATCTGACATTTTGTTCTCCTTTACTATTTCTTCCTCGCATTAATGCAGTTAGTTGGGAAATAACTATTTCATGAACACATACTATGTATAAGAAAATGAGCTAGGTAGTACAGACACTGTAATGAACAAGATAAGCAAGATCCTATGCCCATGGAGCTTCTGTTACAGTGCGGATAACGGTTAAGTGTAAAACAAGCACATACACAAAACAACACAAAAACACAAAAGAAATTCATTCAGTTGCCAACCTTAATAGCAACTCTGAAATATCTCCCAGACTTGATTTCCCTTTCTCTCACATTCTTAGGACACATAATTCTAATTCTCATTTCAAAAGTCTATCCCCAGTTTCTCCTTCATTTCGTCTTTCATAGTAAACCTCTGAGATATTTCTGAGATTTTGGTTGGTGAGTGGGTGTTGCTGGCGGGGAGTGGGGAATGTTGAGAGAGAGAAGGAGAGAGAGAGACAGAGAGAGAGAGAGAGAAGGCATGATGAGAATGGGGGTTGGGGAGATAGAGACAGCCGGCCAGCCAGCCAGCCAGGCAGAAAGAGAAAGTAGCGTTAAGAACGAGAGATCAGTTTTCAGAAATGACTCCAAACTGGAAAGCATTTCTTTTAGCAAAAAGGATTTTAAAACCTATCACTGCCACCAGAGTGAAATAAAGTGAACAACACAACCAGAAAACAAAAAGACAATGTTTTAAGGTTAGAGCTGAAGGTTGTAGATGTTATACCACTGCAGCCAAAATTTTTTTGAACATACTGGGGGAAAGATAAACCTTATTAAGAAACCACTGGAAGACAATTGATTAAAATTTCAAAATTTCAAAAATTAGAGACTGCATGCTGAGCAGGTATGCAGGAAAAAGTGCATACCTTTTGAAGGAAAAACAGCAAGGGGGTTGACTCTGTGTGAGAAGAGGACACAGACCAGAATAACAAGCAACAAGGAAACAAACAACAAACCAGTCATACTGGTTTAGCGTTATCACCAGCTCCTATGTATCCTTCCTATTTCCTTGTTTGGAAATAAGTTATTATATTTTCTACAGTACATCGCCTTTCTGAGACACCATTGGTTAAATGATGTATAAGATGGTTATAAATTTAATAAGAGCACTTTAGAGATAAGAAGGAAGGAACTTCAAATGGAATATATACAAGGGTTAGAAGAGGCATCCAAACTTCAGAGACCTTAAAATTTAGGGAAAATAACTCGTACAATTGCAGAAACAATAGGTTCTTGTTTTAGTAAAGTGGTTCTTAAACTTGAATGTGCATTTTAGAATCATCTGGCAAGCTCTGAAAAACACTCAGTGCCCAGACTGTTTCCAGACCAATTCAATCTGAATCAACAGGAGTGAGACCCAGCCATCAGCCTTATTTAATGTCCCCCTGATGATTCCAATGTGCATCCAGGTTTGAGAAGTACTGTCTTAAAGAATGCTGAAGTCACTGTCAACACGGTTTTTTTTTTTTTCTTTTCTTTTGTCTTCTTATTTTGTCTCAATGGTAAAGAATCTGCCTACTCTGCAGGAGACCCAGGTTCGATCCCTGAGTCGGGAAGATCCCCTGTAGAAGGGAATGGCTACCCACTCCAGCATTCTTGCCTGGAGAATTTCATGGACAGAGGAGCCTGGCAGGCTACAGTCCATGGGGTCACAAAGAGCTGGACACAAGTGAATGACTAAACT